GTGCTTTATTTTCTTTTTATTTTTTTTTTTTTTAGAATGATCTCATTCCACCCTCTTCTTTTCTTCTAAGTGGTCTCTCAATTCGACGAGAGAAATGTTTTGTTACATTTTCAGGTGATTCTTTTTTACACTTTCAATGTCGTCCTAATTAAAGGAAAAGTAGGTTGATTATTTGCTCGGAGAGTAGAATTTACCTACAGTTCAAATTTTTTCGTCAAATTTTCTACGGAGTGTGTTAAATATTAGGACGATTTTTTGCACACGTTGAATCCTCTTATTTTATCATTGTTTTAATTAAAAGACTTCTTCAAGTGACTGTTCTTTCTGTCCCTTTTTTTCCAAGTGGTAGAATTTAATTTTTTTCAGGTGGAAGTGTAGGTTTTAATTTAACGAGAGGAACTTTTTGTTAAATGTTTAAGCGAGTCCTTGCCCACTTCGGATTGCCTTATTTCACTTTTGTCTTAATTTAAGGGAAAGTAGGTTGATCGTTAGATCGATATGCAAATTTTTGTAGAATTCACTATATAGCGAATTAATTTCTATTTATTTATGATATTCAATTTATGTACCTACGAAGTGAGCAAGAATTTGTTACTCACCCTAGTACACGAAGATGGTAGTAATTATGAAATTCATGAGTATCTCACAGCAAATTATTTATACAGAGGTAACGTGTAGCCTAAGGGTTCACACCCATAGATCCTCGTTCTGATGTAACTGCAATAACCAGTTAGGGAATGTGTGCGGAAAAACCTGGCAGGAGATAGTAGAAGATAAGAACAGTGGAAAAACAACATCCTGAGAAGTGATGAAGTACTTCCAGACCAAAGTCGAAGAATCGGATGTACTGTTAGAAATTTTAGAAAACGATAATCATTAACATTTACCCACCTCGATATTCTCGCAATTAGCGAAATATGCCGTTTCAGTCGTTTACTTTTATTGCAATCTGTTACTCTTTGAAGAAGGCAGGAAAGTATCCAATTTGTGCGTATGAAATTGTCATTTCACGTGGGGAAGTGTAAATGAAAATATTTCTTCAGCTCTTTATCTATTCCTTTTTAATCAAAATAATTGCCAACCCGTGGAGATTCTGTGACATTTCTCAAGTCGTTCGGTAATCAGATTTCTACCAAGTGTAAAATTTTAATTCTTCATTTTTCTAACCAATTTCTGATGCTCTCTGTTGACTATTTTTGTCTGAAAGAGCGCCACTATAGTTAACATTTAAATTATGCTATTCAACAAGAATGTCAAATGTCAACGGGCTGTTTTAAACATAATCAACATTTCATTAGGGACCCTCAAAATCCAGATTAGCCAAAGTGTAAAAGAAAAAGAGCGTTCTCATTGCTTCTACCACAAAAAATTTGAAACCGATTTTCAGAAAAATTTACATTCGTCAGTAGTGTCGTTCTTCCAGCAAACCAACGTTATGCACTAACTCAACATTTGAAACGAATCCACGCTCGCGCATTCAAGGATCGTTGGCTTAAACACAGCAAGAGCCTCGGGGAGGCAGCTTTTTCTCGTTCTTTTAACAATCCTCGCGTGCTCCCCGCCGGACAGAACGAACGATACGATTCCCAGAACTGATTACACCGACGGATACAGCCACGTGCAATTCTACATCCGGTTAATCCGTTTCGCCTGTACACGGAAGGAAAAAATACGGCTGCCGGCAATTAGAGTCGCGTCATTAAACGCGCGCCATCGTATCGTTGCTCAATTAGCCGGTATCGCTAATTACCCCGTCGAATAGCCGCGCCATCCCCGTTGTAAACAACGCCGCAAGACAAAACATGTTCGCGCCTCTTTGTCTCCCTCGAATCACTATCGGCCCCGCGTTTACCGACACTTTTTCCCAATCAACGATTCCAATCCTCCGGCTAGTCGATTGTCACCCTTGAAATACAATTTGCCCAACACGATCGACGATAATTCACGGCTCGGGTCAGCGGATGACTTCCGTTGGAAATTAGGTTTCCGCGGATGGTTAGCTTCGAGAGGGATTGCGGTTTTAAACGTCCAGATTTATTTGAGAATCTCTCCTTTTCTTCTTTTTCTTTGGAATTTAGTGTCGATCATTTGTTGGTAAATTGTGAGAAATCTCGGATATCTTTTATAAAATGTCTGAAGTGTTTGTGGAAAAGAGTGATTTTCTGTGGAGGTAAGTTTCGAGACTGATGCAAATATTTGTGCGAAAAAGGCAAATATTTGGTCACTCTTGGAACGTTGACAACTTTTAATCTCTTTAATCAATGTTATTCCAATTATATATCTTGTGCATTTTAATAGTAGCAAATTAATAAAGTGAATGTAGATAATGCGATAATAAAGAATTGATGAAGTGAAACCTTCTGCTAATAATAATTACTGTTACTAAAAATGGAACCCTAATGATTGGTAAATTCCAGAAAGGTTAATTATTATTTGAGAAAGAACAGTCAGTATAGTCTGCGTAATAAGTTACGTCTATTTACAATTACGATTTAAAAATTTTTTATTATTTAACGTTTTAATTTCTGATGTTAATCCTTAATTACTCAATATTTCAATTTGTAATATTAAGCTTTTATTTAACATTTCAATTTCTATTATTATTATTGTTGTTTACGGACAGAGATCCTTTGGTAAAAAGTACAACATGCATAATTTTACTTAATTTCACATTCACTGGTTGTTCAAATTTTTTGCAGTCTTTTGTTTCGTATTCACCAATACATCCCCGTGTTTTCCAGAGAAGTTCACCGTGGGCCAATCAAACATCGACAAAAACAAAGGAACCGATCCGCGCATATGTCAATTATATTTCCCTTTCATCATCGTTCGACGAGTTCCTTCCGCGCGGCGAGAACAACAACGACAACAACATGAGGGGAGAAAATCGAGGCGAAACGCGGTCAGAATATAACACGTTTTTTTTTTTCCGTAGCTGGAATGGAAATGACGCTTAATGATCGAAAATGTGTTTTCTCCCCCGTCTCTCCCTGCCTTCACACTTCTCGTTCTCGCGACGATCGCCTTTCCAATCGAATTCAGATCGTGCACGACCGCCTGCAGATATTTTATTGCAATAATGCTTTTAGAGCGACAATTTTGAATATTTTCCACGTTAGAAAGTGGTGGAGTGAAAAACTAGTACTAAAATATATTTCTTATTTTAGATTAATATTAAAATTAATATTGAAATGTATTTTCTTTTTTTTTTGCTAATTGTGATTATTAAGAATATTAAGTTGGTCAAAGGTTTTCAAAAATAAGTCAGAAATTTGAGAAGTTCTGTATTACCCAAGTCTAGCACAATTGAACAAATTGCTACTGAAGCCTGAAAAATTAATTAAGTAGCCATGAAAAATTGGCAACAAATTCACTAACAATCGACAAGTTATTCCAAATGTTTGGTCGACAGTGTATATCTATACAGTAAAAAGATAGGAAAGAAATTGATTCTTGACAAGAAATGTTTGTTCTTACAAAAAGTTATCTTGTAACGTGAATTTGAAATTGTTCGATGAAAGCGGACTTTAATGGCGTCGTAAAAGTCGCGACTGACGTTATTGCCTTGTCTATTAGCCTTTACTGATAGGACCATTCGGTTCTTGCAGCGGAAGCTTCGTCACGAGAACGACAACGATGGAGATGAAGGACACGTGACAGCTGTGCTGAAGCACAGGAAGCACACGGTGACACGACGATTGCCAATGAAAGAAGTGTAAACCTACTTATAGAAGTACAAGAGAGAAGATCGCAATGAACGCCGTGATGCAAAGAACGTCAATTGATCTACTTTATACGTAATTTGAATAATATTGTCCAAGAGAAAATACTTTGCAAGAAACATTTCTGTTTCAATTCCTATTTCACTTTTTTTTACATTTTCAATACTTGTAAATTCTCTATTTTTATGTGCTTACCCTTTTCTAAGTAAAATACTTTACAAGAAACGTTTCTGTTTCAATTTAATTCTTTTTTACATTTTCAATATTTTTAAATTCTCTATATTTCTTTGCTCGTTGAATCTTTTTTTTTAATTTTCAATATTTTCAATTTCTCTATACATTTCTTTACATTATTGTTAAATCGAGTTCAGCCGTGTAGAGTAGCATGACCTTTAAAGTGACATTTAACTTTACTTTCAATCACCTTTAAAAAAGAAATCAGACATGAAGGCTGCACGTAAAATAGTCTGCAAGTGCCATTGTACTTTCATCTTCTCTCATAATATAAAACCCTTTTCCTTATTAATTAACAAGACTCGAAAATATTGATATCAAAATATTGCAGGGGAACAATTTAAATGCTGATTACAAATGAGACACCCCGTATATAGAAGATACACTTTGCTAACTAAAAAATTGTTTTCTCGAAATTTCCTTTTCTTCAAGGCTTACTGCCTTTCTTCTGTCGAATTTAATCTTCAGTTACCCTACTTCAAAATAACCCTTCCAATTTTCCCCTTTACACAGAAGCAGGAATCATGTTCGATTCAATTTGCCTGTCCGCCCAATCGCAATCGACGATCTTTGCGCATCGTGGCTAGTGAACGGCGAGAAACGAACGGCAATGAAAGACACAGTTTTCGGGAGATACCTCGATCTTGAGGCGCGAAGTACGGCGACGGAGGTAGCCTGAAGGTACTTCGGATCTCACCTGCGTCCTTGCCACCCTTCACGCAGATCCCAAAGCCATGGTGAGAGTCCGGCGGATCTCTCGTCATGGTGATTGTCCTTACGGTGAGCTCCTGCAAGCTCAATGGCTGAGAGCTCGGTGACGTCGGAGGATTCGCGGGATTCGGTTGCGATTGCTGCGATTGCTGGGATTGCTGCTGTTGCTGGGACGTCGACGACGGTGTCGTCCTCACCGCGGCGACACTGGCCGGCGAAGACGCCGGCGTCCTTCTGTCGCCCTGTCGACGCTCCGACACACCGTTGCCGAAAAGTCTGAGGTGAAATTTTGTAGGTTAATTCTTTTAAGGATTACGATCTTGAAAAAGTTTGGAATTTTATTGAATTTTACGCAATTTTATGGAATTTTATGGAATATTGTAGAATTTCGTATAATTTTGTAGCATGTGGTTTGTGTAGGGTAAAGTAGCCTAATATGAGACCGTTCCTAATACGAGACCCCAGCATATCTCCGTTACAGAACTCTTGAATGTCGTAGCGATGCTGTTTTGTTTCGTAATTAACCGCGTTAATTATCAAATTAAATATCAAATTTGATTGAAATCAATCAAGCGTCTTCAACAAGCATATTTGTGCAATACGTTGCAGAAAGTTTTTCAAGTGGTCCGATTAAATTACAAATACCTCGAAAATAGTAAGTTTATAATCATTTTCATAAATACTGTTTTATAGTGCATGCAATGGAATTTAAGAACGAAGACTTAATCTCGAAGCTACTTAATAGCTATCGTGTTATTGCTTCCGAATATGAGACCCTCGGAAGTTCCTATTATAAGAAGAGTCTCACATTAGGTACTCAATTTTGTTTTAGTGTACAAAGTGTTACCGGTGAGCCCACCTTATTGCTTCCGAATATGAGACCCTCGGAAGTTCCTATTATAAGAAGAGTCTCACATTAGGTACCCAATTTTGTTTTAGTGTACAAAGTGTTACCGGTGAGCCCACCAAGTCTACGGTGCTGAAGAAACAGATTTAATATGCCCAATGTGTGAAAAAAGACAGAAAAAATAGTTTTCTCATATTAGGAACCCATTTTTTAAATCCGTGTATTTGCATAATTTTCGTTTTTATTTTATTACGAAGGAATCGAATTTTCTTTACTGTACATTCCAGCACCTTACAAAAGAATACATATCATATTTTTAAAACATGTATCGAATTTTAATAAAAGTGTTCTTAGTCGACAGTTATGACTTCTTTAAGAAATGGGTCTCATATTAGGCAACTTTACCCTATTTGTTAGGCTGATTAAACCTTGTGTCAATAACCACAAATGTCGTTTACTTTATCGTCCAATTTTAGTGGTTTTCTGATAACAAGATTCTAAACTTGAAGGAAGCACGAACAGGAAATGTGCGAAATAACAACGATCTGGCCGGATATTAAAATCTTTTACCGGGAAGATCAAATATTTTAAATGAAAATGTGCAAAAGTGTACCTAATTGACATAAGGATTACTTTTACTATACTTATTCAATCGATCATAATGATTTTCCAGACCGTTCAAATGAAATGACAAATTAACGAACTATCAAGAGTTAATCTATTTTTCAACACGCTCGAAGATAAAATTTATCTTTTGCTCACATTGTCTTAGAATTGCTCGAATCTATCTCATAGTCTTTATTATAAATCCTTACCCAAGAAGATTCGTTCACAAGCTGTTCCATATTTCTTACATATAGATCAATACTCACTTTCTTAACACATATTTAATAGTACGTATCTTAGTCTTACCACTCCAGCATCGATAATTCACTCTTCTAAGAAAAAGCACATAAGTCGTCATACAAACTTACTTATCTACAGTTACATTCTCCTACACCACTTCTATTTATTCATTTATTTGACGAGATGCACCTTTTGGACAATTTTAAGCGATTTAACCCCTTGTCTTACGATTTTTCCATGACTACCTCTCTTAATATTAGGTACTCATCGCTTTAGTAAAGGCTTAAGTGCAAAAGATTAAAAGCTTACCTATGCATTCTATTTAATATTCTTCAGCAGGGCCGCATTTATACTTCTAAAGGCCCTAGGCGCAACATCATTATGTTTCTATGTTTAAAAGTCGACATTTTCGTAATAACTCATTTTAAAAAATTATTAGTCTGCACAAATTTGGATGAATAACGGACACTCATAAATTTGACGTTTCTATTTCCAACGGTCTCCAGTTTCTATGTTATAAATTTAATATTTAAATATAAATATCTTATTTTACAACTATATATAATCAGGCTGTTCTTTATATTATTGTTTGTAAGATTGATGTGTCCTTCAGACTTAAAAATCAAAACCAAAGTTAAAATTAACATTGATTACAAACGCAATTCATTCACACGATATCCTAAACCGTAACCTACACCATGTGTGTGACTCGTTAATATAAGAAGACTATGTACAGTCACCTAACAAAGCACTAACAAAACTGATGCATGGTTGAAACAAATTTTTCTACAATTTTCACGAAGAAAATGTTCGTAAATTGTGGTTTAGGAATGAAAGTTGGAAACGTACCTGAGCACCTGTTCCGGAGAAATGGCACCAGAGGCCCCGGTGGTGTGTCCCCTGTGCCTATACGGGGTGGTGTGCGAGGAATGGTGATGAGAGGCGCTCGGTGGTCTCTCGACGATCGTGTAACTCGTGCCCGGAGGGCTGTAATATCCCCTGTGCTGACCACCATGGTGCCTGCTGCTCGACTCTAAATCCTCGGCTTCATAGCAACCGCCGGTACCGCTTCTCAGGAAATGGGAGCCGCTGCGCAGGAAGTGCGATCCGCTACCACCACCCCACTGCAGCTCCTGCAATTCCGACCCGTAATCCTCCGTGCTGCTGGCCATGCCTTTGGGATCCGTTTTGTCAGACCTGGACACCGAATGGAATATCTGGGTGAACTACAATCGTCGCTGTTGGAATATGAGAGGATTGTGTTGGCTGGAAAGAAAGGAGCCGGGGAGAATTGCGTTAGCCACAGGGAGGATAATTGCGGAAGGTTTTGTAGTTTAACGGTGGTGGAGAACTTTGTCTGTGATTCATTGCGATGTTTCGTATTAAGGATGATAAATTAGAACGAACGGTTTAACTTGGGTTGAAAAGGGTCGTGACATTTCGGGAAGATTGTAGAAAAATGCGGAAATATGGAATGAGGAACGTAAGAATGTAGGAATACTTTCTATCTACAGCGCAAATGTCTTTAAGTCTTCGTTAATTTTTGCTACCATTGGAAAGAAATATTATATCTTTTGTATTATTTACCAGGGGTGTAGTTAACAGAGACCAAGAAATTGAACGCAAATATAATATCTGCAGAGGAGGAGAAATGTAGAAACACTCCATAAATATCTAACATTCGCGATACCAATGCTTAGAAAGCATATTCAAAGTCGAAAGAAGAAAGCTAACGAAATTTCGTAAACAAGACCAATTTACAGAATCAACAAAGACAAGTTTACTCCTAAACTGACTGTGAATCAAATCCTTCGATCGCTATGCTATTCAATTATCTTTCCATCGCTCCACGGGACTTTGTGAAGGATGCATAGGGTTGAGAACGATCGGCTGGATTCGTTAAACTCCCAGGGCGTCAAAGGGTGGAACTTTCGAGATTATGAAAATACAATTAACGGGGTGTCGCTTTAGAAAAGGATCGCTAATCATCAAAGCGGCTTGATGGAAGATAAAGAGGCACCGGCGCGAGCCACTAACCTGAATTTCTCAGATAGCGACGGCATAGATCTGAAATCTCATAAATTAGTCGGGAACCGAGGCTCTCTAGAGATGCTGGGGATGTTCCCGTGTAACGCGAACACCGATATTCGCCTCCTCTGCCATTCAAATGTCGAGATGAATCGAACTCGATTGACTGCCATGTGAAATATTTCAAAGAAAAATACCTAACGTAGATACCTACACGGAGACTTTTAAAAATCTTCATTTCGAAAATAATTCGTCGCAGAAAATTCTCTTTCGCAATAAACAACGCACGAAAAAGAAATCTTTTGCAATTACATTTTATGTAAAACTCCGTGTTATTACTTACGTAAAATATAATTTCTGGTTGAAAATTAGATTCGTCCAATGTTTCGCATTAACTCTTACACACTCGCGAACGCGTTTTAATCCGTTCAGCACCAGAGAACAATTTCGCTCGTATGCAAAAAATGTCAGGCAATTTAAAGCGCGAATGCATATCCAGCGAAAGAAAATACATTTCACTCGAGAAGATTTAACATAATTTTAATTAAATTTCGCCGCAATTGTGAACTTTGTTTATCCCCGAAGCTTGATAGTAGAAAAGAAGAAGATACCGTTTGAACAAGTATCCGATAATTTATCGCTCTAATTTGGTAAAAAAGATAAGACAAAACATTACGCCGTTTCTTTCCAATTGAAAAAAGAAAACATTCACCCTGAAAGAATTTCAAAGGAAAGCGTTAAAAAAATCGAGAGAGGACGATCGATAGCCTTTTGTAAATAGCCACGACGACAATCGAGCGACAGTGACGTCACACGATTACCTCACATCGATCGGTATTAACGCGTGACCGATGAAATAAAATTCACCGCTTTGTGGAAATTCCCTTATCGCTGTCGATCAAGCCTGATAAAATCTGTTCGTGACATTCAACAACCAGCGGGGGGAGAGGCAATGTCATAATCCAATCAGGAAACTGGCCATTATCGTCGGAAGAAATTTGAAAGTTCCCCCCTTGATCCTGGCGTCACGCCTCATGCAAACCCGCCCACTTGTCGAAGTCGGTTCACACGCCCTCGCTGAATTTCCCCCGCGACCGATCCTCCTTCTATACGACGTTTCCGCCACCAGAGGAACAAGTTTCACGACACCGTTTTACGTTCCATGAAATATCGCTGTTTGTAAGCATTTTCTTTGTTGTATTTCCTGTTCCGAGGCAAAAGTAACAACCTCAATTCTGGACGAATATTTGTTGTGTTATTCATGGGGGTGACGTGATGTTTTTCACAGACGAAATGTATAACAGGAATGTACGAATGTGGAAAAGTGGAATGAGGGAATGTAGGAATGCGGAATGATAGAAAGTTGGAATGATGGAATGTAAGAATGTGGAATGATGGAATGTGGAAAGGTGGAATGATGGAATGTGGAATGATGGGATGTGGAAAGGTGGAATAATGGAATGTGGAATGTAAGAATGTGGAAAGGTGGAATGATGGAATGTAAGAATATGGAATGATGGAATGTTAGAATGTGGAAAGGTGGAATGTAAGAATGTGGAAAGGTGGAATGATGGAATGTGGAAAGGTGGAATGATGGAATGTGGAATGTAAGAATATGGAATGATGGGATGTGGAAAGGTGGAATGATGGAATGTGGAATGTAAGAATGTGGAAAGGTGGAATGATGGAATGTAAGAATATGGAATGATGGAATGTGAGAATGTGGAAAGGTGGAATGTAAGAATGTGGAAAGGTGGAATGTAGGAATGTAGAATCGGGGAATGTGAAATGAGAAAAGGTAAGTATGCATTTGCATTAATAGTAGAAATGTAAGGAAGCTTTTCACTGATCGCCTGTTTCATATTATTTTTTTAATCTTTATTAGGTGTGCAGAAGAAAAGAGCACGGAGAGTAAAGTGAATAGCTGAATGAGAGTAAAATAGAAAAAAAAAACGGAAATAAAGGTATGAAAGCGTCAAGGAAAAGAAGTATGATCGTCCCTTTCTTGTCTACTATTATGATATTTGAATACATATGGATGTATTTGTTATCGTACAATTCACTTTTGTATTTAGAAATTTAAAAAGAGATGAAAGTTCCAAGTTATTGCCATGTAAACAATACATGAGAGAAAAAAGCGTGTCGGTGTGTGTACAGAAAAAGGATAAGAGACAAAATGAAGCAAGGATAAGGAATAAAATTGAAGCGTGATTGTAACTTTGAACGAAGCGCTGAATATTATTACCAGGTAATGCTTCTATTTTTCCAATGTATGTAAATCACGTTTTCCACCTGATGCGCAGCATTTCGCGATTATTTATCGAGGCGTTTTATCATTCCCTCGTCCCCGTGTACACGGTGCAGTTTCGTTCGTTATAAAAAGTGGAACGATATTAAACAACATCGAGGAATATTGGTCAATATTTCGTATTTACGCATCGAAGGGTAGTTTATGGCGGTCGAAAAATGTGAACATGGCGTAAAATTGGCGCGCATCGTACACGATCGGCACTTTTCGTTTTATACTCGTCTCTGTTCATCTTTTACGAACAGCATTACCATATTTCAATTACGTATCGCGTTTTATGAGGGAGCATGTGATGCACAGGATATCGGATATCACGAAATGACTGTTCGAAGATGATATTAGCGAACCATTTTTGGCAAATAATGCTCCAGAAACGAATCGAAGCGATGTGTCTTCGAGATCGGAAAACGTTATTTTACGATATATTATCGAGCATTTCTATTCGTATATTTTATGCACGATATCGCTTTACGTTTTATAGATAAGATATCGTTATACTTCCATTAGGTTTCATGTTTTATGACGGAATACATTACGGAGAACTCAAAACCCCTGACATATAATCCTCGTTCGGATATTGAATTAATGTTTTCTGCATGAAATAACGCTTCACGGTTGTTTCATGAAAACGTCATCAATTTGCATCGAGCAATATACAAAGACAAAATTGAAAACAGATCTTTGTTGAAGAAAAAAAGCGATCTACAACATTTAAACGACATAATAATGTGTGCTCTCTTTTTATCTTTATTATGATCGTCTTTGTAATTGCTTCATGTAAATTCATCAACTTTTCATGGAATAACAACGAAGCATAATTACGAACAAGTAGTTTTAAAATGATCTCAGAATTAATCTTTTTTTCTTCTTTTAATTTAATTCCAAGATAATTTTAATACTACTCGTTCTTAATTATATTTGGCTGTTATTCCACGAGAAGATGATGAATTTATACGAAACAATTACAAAGGCGATCATAATGAAAATAAAAAATAAAATTGAAAACAGGTCTTACTTGAAAAAGGAAAATGATCTGAAACATTTAAACGACGTAATAATGTGTGATCTCTTTTTACTTTTATTATGATCGTTTTTATAATTGTTTCATGTAAATTCGTCATCTTTTCATGGAATAACAACGAAGCATAATTACAAACAAGTAGTTTTAAAATTACCTTAGAATCAAACTTTCTATCTCTTTTTAAATTTAATTCCAAGATAATTTTAATACTACTCACGCATAATAAAAATAAAAAGAGAGCTAACATTATTATGTCGTTTAAATGTGAAACAAATTTAAAACATCTTGTTACACTTTTGGTAATTCCAGTTATTTCATTCATTACAAACAATGATCTAACTAACGCTTTCAGATATAACGATCGAATAGGTAAGGTGGAGAGAAGTTTTCGAATTGTTCAGTTCATTAACGAGCCCATACTAGTTGCATGGATTAATTACACGCAACAACGAACGAGCTTGAAACCTTAAATGGCGAACGAAATTCCTTGGCGTCGATTGTATTCATAACGCGACTATTATGACCGGGTGTCTATTACGAAACGAACGAGGTTGTCGCGGACGCGGGCGGCTTGTCCCTGCCAATGAAGATAAGCAGAAAAAGAGTACGAGGTAATTCCGTCTTTGCCGTCCAAGAGGTCAAGCTAAATAAGAAGTTCGTGTAACTCTACCGGATGTACCACAATATGTGGACATAACTTCAGTGATGGATTCAACACACAAAAATAATAAAAAAAAGTTTAGATAAACTTTTGTCCTATTTGACCTTATTTTTGAATTCTAGCCATTTCTGTCTTCCAGTAACTTTCGCTCAAT